CTGTCGGCAAGTTGGATGTAACATTTTATATGTCTTCTGTCTGCAAGTTGAATAAAACGATATGCATAACTTCTGTCAGCAAGAAGGATGTTATGGTATATATAGCTTCTGTCGGCAAGTTGAATATATAATTCGGTCGGCAAGTTGAATATAACGGTGTATATAGTTTCTTTCGGCTAAATTGAATACAACGATAAGTATAGCTTCAGTCGGCCAGTTAAAAATAACGGTGAAAATATAGCTTCTTTTGGCAAGTTGAATTTATAGGTATGTATAGCTTCTGTCGGCAAGTGGGATATAACGATATGCACAGCTTCTGTCAGTTGCATAATTACAGTTTGTAAACAATGGGAATATAACTGTATTTATAGTTGTGTTGGCAACTTGGATAAGACAGTATGTAAAGCTTCTGTCGGCAAGTTAGATAATATCGTAGTGCAAAAATCGTAGTGTAAAAAGGTCTATTATATCCCCTGTACTTTTGTCAATTTGTTATATCATATATGTACATGTCCTATATAGTTGTCCTATTCACTTTCCCATATTTTTCTCATTTTCATTCATCCTATTCATCCATTGCAACATGGAACACTTAATGTCATTCTATAATTCTTAACGACTTATTTCTTTCTTAGCGGGCCTCCTAAAATTTACTTATCCGGATTGGAAGGCACGCACGCGCACATTGAATACACCTCCATTGGTTTGCGCCACGAAGTTGTGTTGCTTTTTCCTTCTCCCAAGTAAATTGTTTTATTTGTTTCCTTGTCATTACAGGCCGAAACAGCTCCCCCACCCCCGCCTTGATTAGGAAATAGGAACCCTACGGCATGACAATACAAACTTGCAAACTAAAATATGGTTAACCTGATTACTTGTAAAAATGCAATATGCAATATGTTGGGCAAACTAAGCAAGCAGTTTAAAGACGAATGAAAAGTAACAAAATTTGATAAATCTATCATCTTCCACAAATATTGCCTCGCACTTTCATTTGAATGATCATAATTTCAGTGACTTTTCATTTATGCCCATATACATGTATATCATTGAAAATGATATTGACCGTCTACAGACATACACTACAAACACAATATCCAGAAGGAATACCTACAAAATTATTTTTTGCCGATTGATACAAATTTGCATTTTTAATATAATACTCTGTAAGTGTATGCTTATCTTAAGTACTTTTTTTTCTATTTAGTTTTTTTTATATATTAAGAGGATATTTTTTCGTTTGAGTGAAATATGGAATATATTTTCACGAAACATGATAAAATGCCACATATTTTCACGAGCCGGGACGGCGAGTGAAAATATGTGGCATTTTATCATGTGGAGTGAACATATATACCATATTGCACGAAAAACGAAAAATAAACCTTTTTATTTTATGCTTTTCAGTGGATTATTGATTTATCCGTGAAAATTATATTTGATAATTTCACAGTGAAAATTATCAAAATATAATTTCACTTTTTTCAATGACGAAACTACTTTTTTAAGATTTTCCCCATGTGGTACCTCAATTTTATTTTTACGGACAATTCTGACAATGTTAGGCTGTTAAAAGAAATAGCAAAGCTGAAATAGATAAATAACTTAAATGTCAAAAGTAACACAGAGAGAAAATTTACTTCTATTCCTCAAATTCCAATCACCAAAATTTCGTCTCTAAATTTTTTTTGGTTCGTTTTTACAGTCTGAAAAATACATTCCTTCCCCATGCAAAACTGCTCTTGATGACATTTGGGCATATTAAAGTATCCTACGAGCAATAACTGCCGTATGCTTTATAAAAAATTGAAAAGCATTGACAGCCATCACTCGTAAAATAAGTAAAACAACCCAGCGTTCCTTCAGCAAGCTTCCAAGTTTTCCATTTTCCTATGTTAAAAAGCGGCTTATAAAGTTTTGGAAGCCAGAACTATGAATTACCCAGTAGAACAATCAACAACAATTACGTGAATTTTGATTGTTATTTATCAACGTCTCGGTTTACGCCTTCAACAGGATAAATAATCAAAACAAACAACGTACGTGACCTAATATAAGTTACGTAACGTTAACATGGCGAAAAAAGTACAGTTCAAATATGCGTATTTTCAATGATTTTAATTAAACAAATAAGACAAAAGCTAAGTACTTTTTTGTATAAAAAATACTTAATGTTCCTATAGAGAAATATAATATATATATTTACATGTATTTATTTTTACCCATGAAATATGGTGCTATATCAGTCAAATATATTTCATATTTTTTTAAAATAATTTATGAGATATAAATATGAAAGTGGGAGCAGGCAAAACTGATATTTATTTTACGGGACTTCTTTTGCCATTTTGTTTGAAAAATCTGAAAATTCAAAACAAATTTTTGTCGAATTTTATTTTGAAAACTATGTAGAATGATAGAAAACGGTCTAACTAAGAAAATAAATCCGAACACCAATATCTTTAATTCAGTCATTAACGCTGTACAGACGTTTAAGGAGTTGTTTACGTGACGTCACAATGTAGCGCTAAATATCACGTGCAAAACAAGACAATAATTATATTACTGCGCGCTGTACAATTGCAGTTGCGTAGCAGGCAAGGGGGTTCATAACCATTTTTCTTTGATATTGAAATTAAATAAAAAGGTTTATTTTTCGTTTTTCGTGCAATATGGTATATATGTTCACTCCACATGATAAAATGCCACATATTTTCACTCGCCGTCCCGGCTCGTGAAAATATGTGGCATTTTATCATGTTTCGTGAAAATATATTCCATATTTCACTCAAACGAAAAAATATCCTAATAACAATAATAAGAAAAAAAACCAAAGGGGTGGAGCCATATTTAAAACAGTACATGTGACGTCACACGCACTGAACACACTACGTGTGACGTCACACGCACTGTTTACAAACAAAAGTGTTATCTAGTTCTGAGAAGATAGCGCGTCTTTACAGTAAGTTTGTAAAACGCTAATGACGTCACGTCAAAATATATGCACGGCCGCGCAATTTACCATTTTTTACGGAGTCGCAAAATTGGCAGGGGTGATAGATAACTAACTTTTTTTTTAAAATTGATGATGTTACGTCATGATGTGGTGACGTCATATAGGAGAATGTGAAACGTTACGCGGCAAATCAGTATAAAATACTCAAAATCACTTATAAAGCATGAAATAAAAAGAAAAAAATATTTGTTTTAGAAATAAGGTTGAACAACATTTCATTTGTGGACAACAGCCTTTATATTTTTACTCGTGTCTACTACACTAGTGAAAATATTGCATCTGGTGTTAACTCAGTAAATATATTTCAATCTTACATGCAAAACAATTAAATATCCTCTATGCATATGTAGCTATGTATATGTTAGTGTTCATCCGTGCTGTTCTACAGAAACTAGAAACTTCGACGGGAGCGATAGCGACAGGAGAATGTTTCTAATTTCTGTAGAACAGCACGGATGAAAACTAACATATTTAGTGTCAAGCTTTATTTGGCCTCATTATCAGTCACTTAATTACGTCACAATGCGGTTTTATGAAGTACTATGAAAAATGGAAGTCGGCTATGGACGAATTCGATATAGTATCGACTTTTGTTCTTCTATGAAAATTAACGCACAAAAATACAGCGTTTTCATTGGATGACAAATAAAGTTGGACACTAACACTGATTAGTGTCAAGCTTTATTTGGCCCTTAATTACGTCACTACGCGGTACTATGAAGAACTATGACTTTTTTTCTTCTATGAAAATTAACACACATAATTTTTAAGAAATACAGCGTTTTCATTGGATGACAAATAAAGCTGGACACTAATCAGTGTTAGTGTTGGAAGTTTATAATTAAGAAATAACATCGGCCTGAGAGGTGTATATCGGCTATTTAACACCGTGTTTGGAGTTTTGATGCGTAGGAATTGACCACGACCTGAGTGGTTAATTCTTTCGCATCAAAACGACAAAACCGGTGTTAAATAGTCCATATACTGCTCTCAGGCCGATGTTATTTCGATTGTATCACGATAAAAGAAGGAAGATCAATAATGTTATTTTTTTTAAAACGGAAATAATTTCCGGTGCCGATTTTCGTACAACGCTGTTCGATTTTCGCACCCTACTGTTGCAAAGATATAGAAATTATTAAACTGAGAAAAAAACGTTATTTTATCAAGTTTTCAACGTCGTATTGTGTTTACATCAGTGCCCCATTTATCATTCTTGTATGTATGAAATAACGTCAGCTTGTTTATGAATGAGTTGTTTACTTACGATGACGTCATTACGCTGCTTACGGATTGGCGCCGTTTTGTCAAAATATTTATTAACTGATATGGATCTAATATGTGGCGTTAGTGTATGTGAGATATTATTTCGGTATTGTATAAAAAGTGACAAAATCACGTGGAGTGATAGAATGGTTATTTTCAAACAATTGTTGTTAACGTTATCGAGTAGCGTGTACCTTAAATTTTGAAAGATCTTAAACAGCAATGTTAAAAGCCGAGTCGCCTCTTTATGTCGCACCTGAATTAAAATGTTGCAAGCTTGACAGGAAATGTCGCAATAACGCTAAATGTCGCTATAACCCTAATGGTAAACATCGCACTTTCACACAGTCTTGACTGACCGTAAGACACATCTAATTGACACTATAAGGAATTGTAAAATTGACAACATAGGACAGTTATATGTCTTTAAGGATTCTACAATGCAAAGTTTAAGTTAACTGTTTATGAGTTACTTTGCTTTTAGAAGGGCTCTTTTTCAGAAATAAGGAAACTCTAAGATAATCTGTAACATATAATCACTATGAAAAATGTTTTCCTATTGATCATTAATAAGAAACAAATAATAGCATTCAGGTAATAAATCACACAAGCAAAATGATTGTTTGTACACACAATGTTTGAAATATGTATAAAAACCCACTTTAAACTTTAAAAGTCTAAATATACCTAAAATTTACAACAATGAAGGTCTGTTTTTAAAGTTAGTCTAAATGTTCTGAAATGTATTTTGGCTGATCTTCCAAAATATAAAATACTTTATTTATTTTTTATTTTATTATACTTTGAAAATATCAGGTACCATATTTGCTATTAAATTTGGCATTATTTAGCCAATAAATACCTACAATAATAATATAATAAAAATCAAACAATTTTCCACCCCAAAGGAGATCTGAGAGATACATGAATAATGTTAAAAGAATAAAAAATAAAGAAAAAAAATTGCCCCTTCACAGTTCCATTAATTGTCCCCCTTTTGAGGCCTCAAACAGTGACAAAATACCCTATTTAATCCCCAAACAATGTTTTTCGTTTGAGAATTGTTGTTTAGAAAAGTGACCCTTAACTGCGTAGTGCCAGTTCGCCAACTAATCAATGTGTTGACTTACTAAATTGTCAATTTGGGAAATGAGTTTCATTTTCACTTGAAAGGTAACAAATGAATAATATATTGATAATACCTGTCATATGCAGGTCAGATCGGAATATCCGTACCAAGGGGATCCCGCCCATTAGGTGGTAACAATGCTTGCCGAACATAACGGAATACTTGTACGTCAGTAATTTCCGAACATTTTAGTGGTCACAGTTGATATATTGCACATTTAAGTGGTAACTGTTACCTATAGCACACCTTAATAGTAACTGTTATCTACGACACACTTGAGCGGTTACAATTATCATACAGCACACTTTTATGGTAACTGTATAATACAGCACACTTTTATGGTAACTGTATCATACAGCACACGTTTATGGTAACTGTTATCATACAGCACACTTTTATGGTAACTGTATCATACAGCACACTTTTATGGTAACTGTATCATACAGCACACGTTTATGGTAACTGTATCATACAGCACACTTTAATGGTAACTGTATCATACAGCACACGTTTATGGTAATTGTATCATACAGCACACGTTTATGGTAACTGTATCATACAGCACATGTTTATGGTAACTGTATCATACAGCACATGTTTATGGTAACTGTATCATAAAGCACACGTTTATGGTAACTGTATCATACAGCACATGTTAATGGTAACTGTTATCATACAGCACACTTTTATGGTAACTGTATCATACAGCACACGTTTATGGTAACTGTATCATACAGCACATGTTTATGGTAACTGTTTCTTACAGCACACTTTTATGGTAACTGTATCATACAGCACACGTTCATGGTAACTGTATCATACAGCACACGTTTATGGTAACTGTATCATACAGCACACGTTTATGGTAACTGTTATCATACAGCACACTTTTATGGTAACTGTATCATACAGCACACGTTTATGGTAACTGTATCATACAGCACATGTTTATGGTAACTGTATCATACAGCACACTTTTATGGTAACTGTATCATACAGCACATGTTTATGGTAACTGTATCATACAGCACACTTTTATGGTAACTGTATCATACAGCACACGTTTATGGTAACTGTATCATACAGCACACTTTTAAGGTAACTGTATCATACAGCATACTTTTATGGTAACTGTATCATACAGCACACGTTTATGGAAACTGTATCATGCAGCACACTTTTATGGTAACTGTATCATACAGCACACGTTTATGGCAACTGTACCATACATCACACGTTTATGGTAACTGTATCATACAGCACACTTTTATGGTAACTGTATCATACAGCACACGTTTATGGTAACTGTATCATACAGCACATGTTTATGGTAACTGTTATCATACAGCACACGTTTATGGTAACTGTTATCATACAGCACACGTTTATGGTAACTGTATCATACAGCACATGATTATGGAAACTGTATCATACAGCACATGTTTATGGTAACTGTATCATACAGCACATTTTAGTGGCTACTTCTATTTTACAGCACATATTCAATTACAATGGTTCAAGTCTTGGAAAGTAGGTATCAAAATTCTTATAACTGATTTGATTAAATTGTTAATGTTTCAATTATTCTTCAGATGAAACAAGGCAGGACAGACAGAAGAAAGGAAACATTTTTCAGAGGTTTTTTGAGAGGAGACGTTATAACCGGATGAAAACAAGTAAAATTTTATTTAAATACGCTATGCATGTGACTTTCCATAATTGATACACAGTCAAACCTTTGTTAGAGACAAACTCCGATTTAAGACCACCCTGTAGTTAAAGACCACTTTTTGAGAAACCTTCATTGAAAAATGTACATTCCTAATAAATACCTTTTGTCATTCAAGGCCAATCATGTTCTCTCTTTGGATGGTCCATATTTACCAGTTTGACTGGACTGTGTTATAAGCTTGACTTTTTGCGGGAAAAATCATGTTTCCGTTCCCGTTCCAGTCCATAACAATATGTTGTTGTTAATGTTTTGTTGGAGTATTCCTTACTTTGTGTCATCCGAAGACTAAGAAAATTTCGAGTGTGACTCCCGCTAGGCGGTGTTTATTATAATTTTTTTTTTATTTTATTTATTTTTATGTACACACGATTTCTTCACCTGCCGAAACATAATAATTGAAGACGTGAAATTATTTTAATTGAATGTAACTTGATATACAAGTTTGCTAATGTCTTGTATCAATACAGTACAGGAAAATTCATTAGCATCCTTACTAGAATAAAATGAGCCGCGTCATGACAAAACCAACACAATGGGTTTGCGACCAGCATGGATCGAGGCCAGTCTGCGCATCCGTCCGGATCCATGCTGGTCGCAAACCGATTATGTTGGTTTTGTCATGGCACGGCTCAAATGACCTTCTGTAATACTATGTTTAACGAGAAATGGTTGGAGTTAAAAGGATATAAAATCAATATAAAATGTTTGTTCTTAAGGATATTGGAATTGTACAAATTATTCAGAACACTGCATTTTGAAGATCATTTAGTGTTTTGAACTTCCGTCCCTTCAGCTGTCCTTTGATGTGTAGAAAAATATAGTTACCAAACTAAATTATGAACACTTCTTTATATAAAGTTACGGCGCCATTTAATAGATTTATTGATTTAAAAAAATGATTACAAAAAATACGAGGCCCAAATACCAATTTATCAACTCTTTAACGACCACACAAAAACGTTACAATAGGCGAATGACGTCATATTTTCTAGTGACGTCAGGAATACGTACGTGTACACTCTTTTCCCTTATATGTAGTGTTTAAAGGATACTGTGATGCATCAAAGTAATGAACTAACCCTTTTTTTGTCGTGCACCGGTTTTACGTTACTTAAGTAACTGTATGAGTCGTTACTACACGATACGCCGGTTACACGGCTTTTTCTTTTGTTTTCTTATTTGAGACATATTTCACCTTCAAGTGATATATAATTCATGTTTTTTTATCAATTACTCTCACGACAATAACTGCAGTGCACGAAAACTGTTATATCGTTCTCATATTTTTTCTACGTCTATATGGCAAAAATTAATACCTTTCAGAAATCAAAATATCAGTTGAATACCTGAAAATGACCCCAACCTCATTAAATGTAGATAAAGTTAGTGCATACTACTTCATATTTTGCTGCAAACCATTAACATGTATTTTGTTTCGGCAGACCAATTACATATTGTTACTTAATGTTCTCTTAAACTGCCAGGAATAATGTATACATGAAGACATCATGCTTAAGTATTGAATTCAAAGCATATTTCATCCTGTATGTTAATGGTCTATATATTTAGCCTTTTTCAGTCTACAAAACATGCGTTAGTAAAAAGTTATATAAATTGAGAAGAAAAAACCACAAGAAACGGAGATAAGAAAAACTCTCTTGAACAACCAAAACCAACGTTATATAACCAAATTTGTGTGCAAATGATAAGCGTACTACGTACTTTACGCTTCATAATGATTTACCACTTATTAAATAATTAAATACGCTAAAACGTGCCGTAACATATAGCACAATCTTGAAACACACTGGCAGTAACAAAAGTTATCATAAGAACTCTAGGACATTTTCAGAGTTATCGCAAGAACTCCGTGACATTTGGAAAATCGGGTATAAATCTATTAGACTGGGCATTACATTTGCAACTTTACATTATAATTAGATAAGAAGATCATAAATAAAAAGGTCAGTATGTTCGAGTGAGCAAGTAATTTGGAATTTTTACACAAAACTACCAGATTTTAAACAAGAGGCGATGACAAATGGACTTTCAAGTTTTTTTCTGAAATAAAATACAAATTTGAAAGGCAAGCTTAATCATCAAAGTTTAATTTAACACTTGAACTCCCCATTTAACTATATTTCAATTTTTCACAATAAAGTTTTCCGAAGATCTGTTATGTTTTCCATGAACTGCGTGACAAGTTATCATAATAACTCCATCCTTCGTGTAACCGTTCCTCACCCGTGATAGTATGGCTTGTCAAAAAGTAATAAATTTCTATTTATAGATATATAATGTTCGTTTCAGTTGTCCGCGCATATTCACCAGTGATGGAACATTTTTAAACATTTTTCCTTTTTGTTTGTTTTTGATGCGAATTCTTTATTAGTAGTGATAGAAATGGTAAGATTTTGATTTACTGAAAATTTATTTATTCTATGTTTTGAATGTTTTTAAAAATTTCTTTACAACGGTATGTTATTATGTCACGGAAGTGAAAGCAGACGACAATTTATTGTTTTATTTTATGTCAAATTATTGGTGACTTATCATGTTATACATGTATAATTATAGTCCACTGTTATTAACGGTTTCGATTAGATATTTACCACTCATTTATATTTGAAAGCTGAGTTATACGCTGAAAAACCAAAGTCTAGTGAGATTCAGATGACTTGAGTTTCATAATTTATAGCCGTGAAAAAAGTTATTTAACATTTCATATTTTTACATTTAAACATTTAATATTATCCATGAAAAATGTAAAATATCAGATAATGAAGATAAACATGAAACAGGTTAGAGTCAACGGACCAGTGCTCAACCAGTATTTCACAAAATCCAGAAAAAACTCTTTCAAAACAAAAATATTGCTCGAAAACTTTTTTTTGTTACAAAGCTGGGCCTTTAAAACTCATAATGGCTATATCCTGGATTAGACCCCGGGGTCTAAACCCACAGGCACAAAAAAAACAACAAAAAATGTAAATAATGACCCCCTTTAAAAATATAATATAAGTTAACGTATATTATATTTTCAAAGGGGGTCATTATTTACTTTTTTTTTTTTTTGGACACTTTTAAGATGAACACATGTTTTTTTATTAATCTGGTAAAAAACTGAAAAAAACATAGGGATCTAATCCAGGTGATTGCCCTCACAATGACACAGATCAGGATATCATTTACCACGGAGTTGTACATAGGGCCTAAAACCACTATATTTTTCAAGCAACGTAACCAGTGCTCGACCAGGTGGTTTTATTTTTATCAGAACTTTTATTTTTGAAAAACAGATATGACTTTTTGTGTTTAACAATTTTATTTCAAAAATATTTTGGAACATTTCTGTTTTAGTGTGTATGGATATAGATATGAGATAAATATGATAGGAAGGAAAATTAATGTTAGACATTGACAAATAAAGTGTTTTACAGAGGCTTTTTTTCACTGGGGGGTGGGGGTGAGATTACTTATCACTGCAAACATAGTAAAGTGTGATACTTGATGTAATATACAGTTGGTCTGCCCTTTCAGTGGTGTGTTCCCTATTTGTAACCGGACAGCTGCCATATGTGTTTACATGTTCATAGCCATTGCCTTATATTTGATGATTTGTGGGGCCCTTTCCCATGGAACTCAATGAGTAAAGGAAATTTAACAAAGCATTGTCCAAATTTGCCCTAAATTATCATTATGTTAGTCCTTTAAATAGTTTTTACTGCAACTTTTATTATAGACATATATTTTTGTACTGTTTATTATCGTCTGCAAAATTGCCAAGTTCTAACAAACTTTGAGTGTAGAGGTTACAGGTTAGGTATAAATAGCACACATGATCTCCGAGCGTTTTTTTTTCTCTCACTTAAATAACGCATAAATCGTACGCAAATAAAAGTATTGGTCGAGCAATGGGCTGGTCGAGCACAGGTACGGTGACTCGATAGATGATGTGTTTCAAAGTGGACAATTATTCAAAAAAAACATTTTAATGTCCCTGTGATACAATAGTCAATTGTGTCCAATGTCCTTATCCAAAGTTTGTTGGAAAGGACCGAGAAGATTTGATTGTGTTTGGCCATTTAAATGGGTAATTGAATATTTGCCTACTTTAAAACACAACATCTATCATTCTTGAATAGTATGTATATGATATTTTGGTATAACCTAGCAAGTAACTAACCATGTAAATAGCAATTCAATGCTGGGAGTTGAAGTTTTTTCTTCTCCCAAAATATCGAGTATAAGTCTACCGAAATTAAGTAAATTCATAGATATAAAAGTAAACAATGCATTATTAAGCTTATGGTTTAAGAAATCGAAAGTGCAAAATGCCAACCTGTTGACATAGGGTCCAGTATGTTTATATAATTTGATTATCAAAATTGTACCGAAACAGACTTTTTTGAATGTCAAATATTGACATCGTATTCTTTATCAAAGATTACACTCTGTGTTTTACATATAAAATCACGTGGTAGAAATACTTTTACAGTCTGATTTTATTGACCTGTCAAATATGAATACATTTTATAAGATTAATTTGAATATTCGATCCAACTTCGGTTATATCCATGTAGTTAACGATAATTAAAATGGAAAATATAAATAATGTTTTGAAAAGTCACAGTATATAAGTCGTTATCACATCCTGTTAAGTGATTTCCTGGTATACGAGTGGTCAGTGGTCAGAGGATAACTGTTGTCATAGTTTCGTTTCTTTATTTATTTTTTAAGTATTTCTTAAATTAATAGAAATGACCAAGTGTTTACAAAAATGTAGAACTAACCAGCTAGTGGTACTCCTTATTGCGTTAAGACGCTCAGTATAACTACATGTATATTACAGAAACATATGTAATCACATGTTATAAGGTGCTTTGCCGAAAATCTACAGTATATCTATATATTGTGTGCTTTGACCGTATAATCAGTCTCATAAGTATGCTATCGTCAGGTTAATAAAATCAAACAATACTGTAGTCCGTATTAAGTCTGATTATGAATAATAGCCGAGGAATTCCGATATGATGGAGAAATCAGGAGGAATTACTTCCTGTTCGAGTAAAAATCCCACCCTTCTTATTTCCCCTCCGTGATAACTATTTGTTTTCATATTTTCAATGCAAATATATCATTTGATCAAGATTTGTTTTCATATTTTTAATGTAAAAATATCATTTTTAAACGGTTCAAACATGTTAAACATATATCGTTCTTGGTGTTTGTCAATTCAATGAACTATAGAAGAAATATTTTCTTCTTTAGCTTGACCCTCCCCCACCAATTCTTCGGGTTCAGAATGAAGAAGGAAATGCTTACTTTCAAGCATACAATGTATTAATTATAACGATGGAAATACTTCGTTTTTGCATATGAATTTATGCTATTATTAAAACAAAGTTTAGCTTTAATTATGCATTGTTAATGTTAAACATAGCATCTGAATATAGTATTATACTTCTTATTTGTCATTATGCATTATTTGTTCCTAACCATGCAAAATTGAAGTTAGTAACACCTCAGCATTTTATATATTATATAGAAAGATTGTCGCTGATTAACACTTTTTTCTACTCTCTTTTCAGAACTTCAAGGCGACCTGATTAAATTCTACAGAAAAAGGTGTAGTTCAATACCTCTGTCACCGCTTCTTGAAGAAATAGAGACACCTCTAGCTGGGTTCTACGTGATGCCTGATATAGTCGCCGTAAAACAGAAGTCCCTAAACTCCAATGAAGAGGAACGAACGCCGATCAAGTCTTTGAAAGACCTGTTTTCAACCGGAAGTGGTGATCAGCAAGAAATTTATCTATCAGCTGATGCAGGCTTTGGAAAAACTGCTTTCTCAAAATATCTTGCAGTCACGTGGTGTCAAGCTCATTGTCACGATGAAAACTACGCCTGCGTTAAAGACGACGAGTTAAAAACGTTGTTTGACTTCAAGTTCTTATTTTTGGTTTTATTAAGAGACTGTACCTCAGTTTGCAACATTGACGAAATGATTGAACAGCAAATTACGAGGAAACTTCCTACTTCTGCAACAATACGTGAAGTGTTACGTAGAGAAAAATGCTTGATTATTTTGGACGGTCTTGATGAATGGAGTCACCCTGATAATAGCTGTAGCGAAATAACAGAAAAAATCCCACATCGGTACGTACGTGATAATTGTGTTATTCTAACGACAACTCGACCGTGGAAGCTTGGAGTCGCAAATCTCAAAACAAGTCAAATAAACAAAAAAGTAGAATTGGTTCAATTAAGTGCAGATTCTACGCGGCAACTTGAAGAAAATGCTATAAGAAAAATGACCGGTGTCCGTGACGATAGAGTACTGGAGAGTAAAATATGGGACTTTAATAAAGTGATACGTGACCGTCGCCTAGAGCACATGCAAGTGATTCCACTCCTCCTCATGTATATAGTTTGCCTATGGTGCAACAACATTCCTATAGGAAATTCAAAACATGAAATTTACACCAATATCATTGAATTTCTATTATCAAGAACGTCAAAGAAACACCCGGAAGTTCAACCATCTTGTGAATTGTCTGCCAGTGAAATTCCAGAATACTTCAAAGGTCATGAATTTTGTAAAAAGTTTTACAGTCTTATAACATCATTAGCAGAACTAGCTTACCAAACATTATTTCACAAAAACAGAGAAAACACGCTTGTATTTGATAGAACAGTTGCTGATATATATCTCAAAGCAGACGACATGAAATTAAGTCTTTTCTCAGGAATACTGTCAGAAAGTAGAAGTAAAACTTTAATTAGAGAAATTAGTAAAGTATCGTTTTCTCACAAAACAGTGCAAGAATTCTTTGCCGCCATATTTATAAGTTCTCAAAGTGACGCTCAGAAAACTGTTGTAGAAAAATGTAGAAATGTTCAAGACATTCTGGACATGTCAAAAATTTGTGAATTTATAAGTAAAATGAATGCTGACCTGATGTGTGAAATATCAAATGATTTGATGTCTGTGATAAATGAAGACGAGGAAACACGCGACTATAGAACTAGGACACGTGACGAGGACTTCCTGTACAATACTCCACCATTGTATAACATACAGAAAATGTTCATGTCGTGTTTACAAGAAATGCCTGAAAGTGAAAATATTCAATTATGTTTACAAGATTTCTTCATTGACGAGGACACCGTGGTGGACAGTAAGCTGTTACAACGTTTATTAAAACAAAATAAAACCAACATAAAATCACTTTATATAAACATGTACAATACTTCCAGCAGTTTACGTGAAATTATAGATTTATTCTCTCTCACAGATCTCAGTCATATACAGAAACTTTACTATTATGGTGGCAGGGAGAAGGAGGCTGAGATAACCCGGATATTGTTTCCCAGTTTACAGTACGTTACTTTGTGGGGCGGTACATGGATAAATGATGAAGAAAATCTGAGTGAAAATTTAGCGCGAGTACAAAACTTACAATATTTATATATTAGATACTTCACGTTATCTCACAAAATACTGGAAACATTTTACAATTTTATCTCCGCTCAAAAATCAATGAAAGAGTTAACATTGGAGGGGTTAGACTGTAAAGAACACAAGTACCGCCGCCATGATTGTAAGAGATTGAACTTGGACTTGTCTCAACATTCAACTCTATCAAAGTTAAACTTGTCGTGGTTACCTGGGAGACTACAATTAAATATAACAACACCGTCATTAGTTAATGTTAGGTTGTCTCGCATCAATCTAGATGATGAAAGTTCATTGTTACTGTCACGTGACATGTTGAATATTGAACGTGTGGAGTTGGTGGGTATAGAAATGTCTGCAGAAAGTTTACAGAACTTTATTACCGTGCTGAAAAATCTGCCGCAGTCAGTTACAGTAGAGATGTCCGCCATTAAACCGAGAACAGAATATGACCGTGTTAGAGAAAATATTCGGAGTTCACAAACTTTTCATGTGATACAAGACGAGGACGACTGGCGGCGGGGGATTGAGTTCAAAACAATAAAACCAAGTAAAGAATAAACAAAGGAAAAACATTGTAAAATAAACTAATGAAATGACTTCAATAAATTTAAATGAAAACAATTTAAAAATGGACACTTAGAAAACAAAATGGCGGTTTCTTCAACGTTATACATGTACTGTATAGTTTGGTCATTTAATTTACAAACATTTATTTAAGTTTAAAGTTTAATTAAGTGACAGTTGTTTATAAATAAATAAATAAAAACAATTTTAAGAGGAGAAATAATTCAAGGACATTTTTTACCGGAACTTAATGGATAACTTGGAATTAGGATTTGGAAATATTTTACAGGTAAGAGATTTTATATTGAATTTTTTAATTTTTTTTTATATTATTTCATTTTACACACCTAAGTATTGAAATAGATTATTCTTATTGAATTATATAATAAGATATTTTATTTAAATTAAATAAAAACACTTTATATTATAATAAAAAATTCCACTTTTAACATTTTTCCATAAATTTTTTATTTTATATTAGTTAATAAAAACACATGAATATATGAACAATTGTTAAATAGCTACCATCTAAAATATTTTCAAAGTCCATTGACATATGGCTGTGTTATTTTGCACACTTAATCACCATCATGACCCCCCCCCCCCCTCAATCTGTAGACAGGTGGAGGTAACTCTTTTAAGCATTTTAACAGAATTATGTCCCTTTTTTACTTAGAATTTATGCTTAAGTTTGAGTACCACCTCAAATATTTTCAAAGTCCATTGACATATGGCTTTGTTACTTTGCACACTTGTTAACCATCATGCCCCCAACATGTAGACAGGAGGAGGTAAATCTTTTAAGCATTTTGACAGAATTATGTCCCTTTTTTACTTAGAATTTATGCTTAAGTTTGCGTACTACCTCAAATATTTTCAAAGTCCTTTGACATATGGCTTTGTTACTTAATTGCACACTTATTCACCATCATGACCCTTACCTGCAGACAGGAGGAGGTAACTCTATCAAGCATTTTGGCAGAATTATGCCCGTTTTTCGACTTAGAATATATGTTAAAGTTTGCATTCCACCTCAAATATTGACATATGGCTTTGAAACTCTCCAGGCTTGTTCACCATTCACCATCATGTCCCCAACCTGAAGACATGAGATGGTAATAGAAATTTTTTTAGATGGTATAAGACAATTTTTAAGTTTTTTTTTCGGTTGCCATGCTCTGGTTGCCACTTTTGTTCATTGTTTCAAATATGTCCGCCTCATTTAATAACAAGGGTATTTTGATACCCATTTACCAGAAAACATTTATTCAAGTATGCAAGAGTTTTAGCCATGATGTGAATGACACAGTTAAATCTACACGTCAGTATTCTGCCGCCTGTAATATTTTATGTTTCATGGAAATCAGTTCATCACATATATTATAATATACATTTAACAATATGTGTTATTTCTCGTTTCAGTGGCCTAATGGATCAAAATTTCCGATTCTTTGTTGTGCAGAATCTCCCATGACATTTTACATGGAGCATTGTGTGATGATAGATCAATTTGTAGATTTGTATTTGAAAAACTTCCCATTGTCTTGGTAAGACTTTACAAATATCTTTATGATGGACAGCCTAATAAACTGTATAATTATGTAAATTAACATAGTTATGCCCCCTTAGTAGAAGTGGGGATATATTGCACTAAGTGACTAATTGCATCACATTTGTCGGTCTGCAGTTGGTTCTTCTGTCAGTCAGTCTGAAAACAAAACTGTGTCCAGTCAATAACTTAATAACAGCGAACTTGCTTTATGAACTTCAAACTTGTGATGGAGGTTTAAAAACCTAAGAACATAAAATTTGAATTTTCATACATAAATGAGCTGGGGCACTTTAAACTGAAATATATGCAAAGATAGTCAAGATATAATTATACTTCGAAATAAATTGAAAATCGTATTTTTATGCTTTTCTTAGCTCAATTTGTTGTGAAAAGCATTTAAATGCTTTTCATTTATAGTCATATTTTTACAATTAGAATAATTATTCTGGAAAAACAAAGTGCGCAAATGATCTGAAATGTTGCACAAAGATTAATGGTTTAAACCTACTTCAAATGGTACATTTATCTGGAAAAAATATTTTCAGTTCCATCATTTCAAAAAACCTCAGTGGAGTCCCTTTAAGTTTTGATAAATATTTGATTTCTAATATCTTTTTAGCTCACCTGAGCAATGCTCAGGGTGAGCTATTGTGATCGCCCTGTGTCCGTCGTCCGTCGTCGTGCGTCGTGCGTCGTCAACTTTTCACATAAACAACATCTCCTCTGAAACCAATGACTGCACATCAGCCAAACTTTACAGAAATGATCCTTGGGTGGTCCCCTTTCAAAGTTGTTCAAATGGTTCCGGTCTGTTGCATATGTAGGTCACAGGGCCAGAAAAGGATTTCAAAAAACACAAAATTAAAAAATCTTCTTGTCTGAAAGTACATGGGCCAGAGCTTTGATTTTTGGTATATGGTATCATCTATGGGTCCTCTACCAAAGTTGTTCAAATTTTGTCCCTAGTGTCAAAATTGGCCCCGCCCCGGGGGGGTCATAGGTTTTTCCTTATATGTCTATAGGTAAATCTAAAAAAATCTTCTTCTCTGATTTGGCAAAGGCTACAGATAAGATATTTGGCATGAAACATTGTGTAGTAGACCTCTATCAAGATTGTTCAAATAATGGCCCTAGGGTCAAAATTGGCCCAGCCCTGGGGGTCATTGATTTTCATTACATACATATAGTGAAAACTTGAAAAATCTTCTGGTCTGAAAGTAAATGGCCTAGAGCTTTGATTTTTGGTATATGGTATCACCTATGGGTCCTCTACCAAAGTTGTTCAAATGTTGTCCCTAGTGGCAAAATTGGCCCTGCCCCGGGGGGGTCATAGGTTTTTCCTTATATGTATATAGTAAAATCTAAAAAAATCTTCTTCTCTGATTTGGCAAAGGCTACAGATTAGATATTTGGCATGAAACATTGTGTAGTAGACCTCTATCAAGATTGTTGAAATAATGGCCCTAGGGTCAAAATTGGCCCCGCCCCGGGGGGGTCATTGATTTTCATTACATACATATAGTGAAAACTTGAAAAATCTTCTGGTCTGAAATGGCCTAGAGCTTTGATATTTGGTCTATGGTATCATCTGAAGGTCCAATACCAAAGTTGTACAAATTTTGTCCCTAGTGCCAAAATTGGCCCCGCCCCGGGGGGTCATAGGTTTTTCTAATATGTATATAGTAAAACATAAAAAAATCTTCTTCTCTGAATTGGCAAAGGCTACAGGTAAGATATTTGGCATGAAACATTGTGTGGTAGACCTCTACCAAGATTGTTCAAATAATGGCCCTCGGGTCAAAATTGGCCCCGCCCTTGGAGGTCATTGATTTTCATTATATACATATAGTGAAAACTTGAAAAATCTTCTGGTCTGAAAGTAAATGGCTTAGAGCTTTGATATTTGGTCTATGGTATCATCTATAGGTCCAAAACCAAATTTGTTCAAATTTTGTTCCTAGAATTAAAATCGGCCCCGCCCTGGGGGTCATTGATTTTCCCTATATGTATATAGTAAAAACTTAAAAAATCTTCTTTTAAAGAACCCAAAGAGCTAGAGCTAAGATATTTAGCATGAAACATCTTCTAATGGGTGTCTATCAAGTTTGTTCAAATAAAAGCCCTGGGGTCAAAATTGGCCCCGCCCCAGGGGGTCATTGATTTTCCCTATATGCATATAGTAAAAACTTAAAAAAATTTCTTTTAAAGAATGCAAAGAGCTAGAGCTAAGATATTTAGCATGAAACATGTTCTAATGGATGTCTACCATGTTCGTTCAAATAAGAGCCCTGGGGTCAAAATTGGCCCCGTCCCGGGGGTCATTCATTAGCTCGACTTTTTTTTTTTTTAAATATATACATATTATATATATACATACATATATATATACATATACATATCATGGCCCTCTTGTTGTTATATAAATGGTATCTATGTAATTTAGACTTGATAAAATTGTTCTTTGTCATTATTTTGACATGTACAACAAGGTTCATAACTCCCAACATCTTTATTTTAAGAGAAATTTCTTCTTTGAACTTTAGATTTATTTTAAAAATTTCTTGCTCTTATCACTTTTGTTACTGAAGGGAAAATGACTCAGATTGTTGCCTTTTTAGTTAGAGCATAGAAATGTATGTTGAACTTCTATAATGACATGGTGTCATGCAAATTATGTGATGCAAATATATTGAACATATAAATGCTTTCTTGATACCTATACAAAAATGTGTTTGTATCATAATTATTTTTTTTCATAGTTTTGTTTTCCTTTACACCTGGATTTATTTAGTAGAGTCTGTTGTCTCCTCTGCCAGCTCTTGTTATTATCACTGCTATAAAAAATGCAAATTAACAAAATAAATAAAATCCATCAAGTAACAACGGTTACGGCTGGTATAGTTTTAGACGTGCCCATTTTTGTGCCCCCACTTTAGTGTCGGGCATTTAGATTTACCCTTGTCTGTCTGTCCGTCCTTCCGTCTGTTCACTTTTGTGTCGCACATAACTCAAAAAGTATTTGACGGAGAGTCATGAAACTTTACAAGAATGTTGATCAGCATGTGTAGTTGTGCAACTGGGTATTTTCGTCTGGATATTTTTAGTATTTTTAGAGTTATTGCCCTTGACTTAGTAAAATTTTGCAATTTTCTACTTGTGTCGCATGTAACTCAAGAAGTATTTGACCTAGAGTCATGAAACTTTACAGGAATGTTGATCAGCATGTGTAGTTGTGCACCTGGGTATTTTCGTGTGGATTTATTTAGTATTTTTAGAGTTATTTAGCCCTTGACTTAGTAAAATTTTGCAATTTTCTACTTGTGTCGCATGTAACTCAAAAAGTATTTGACATAGAGTCATGAAACTTTACAGGAATATTGATCAGCATTGTGTAGTTGTGCTCCTGAGTATTTTCGATTCGATTTGTTTAGTATTTTTAGAGTTGTTTAGCCCTTGACTTAGATATTTTTTACAATTTTCATTTTGTGTCGCATGTACAGTTGAGTTCACACTAAAGGTTAGACAAAGTGCACTAGTAGTGCACTTCATAAGTGCACTTTGTAGTGCACCAGACCTATTATATGTATTAAGCAGTTACCTTTTATTTCAATGAATAGCAATTTGACTTTTACAAAAAGAAAGATAAATAT